TCGCGGGTCTCCTGCGAGCCCTGGCAGTTTGCTAGGAAGAAACGATCAGAGCCCGTCCTGGATGCTGCCGCAAGCAGCTTCATCCAGAGGCTGGAGCGCGCGGGCAGCGCCCTGCATGGAGCAGGTGCAGCCCGGGGGGACGGGGCGGCCGCAGCCGCGAGCGCTGAGCTCTGCGCTTGCTCCTGCTCGACACTTGGCCATCCTGCAGCACCCCTGTTGCCAGGTCCTGGAGGGGCTGCCACCCTGCACGGAGCCCATCACCACGGCCTCTCTGCCCGCACGACTGCTGGGCACTCCACTTCATGGCCATGGCACTGCCAAGGTGTTCGGGAGCAATTTGGAGGGAAGAGCCATGCTGGTCCCGGCTGCTCCTGCCTTGCTCTATTGGGACAGCGGGAGCCGCCCGGCCGGGACGTGCGCCCCGCTGGCCGCGCGGCAGCAGGTGGAAGGAGTCAGACCTCAGCAATGCTGCGGGAGCTCTGCTGCCAGATCACTTCATATTATTATTTTTTTTCGTTGAAGTTTATGGGGTAGGGATTTTGCAGAACTTGGCACTCGGATATCACATCAAATGAAGACCTTCTGGTTCGGAAATTTCACTTAATGCAGCCTCCTTTTATTGCTGCACGGATCAGGCAGAACAAAGTGGCTCTGCCTGTGCATGGGGAGGCGCACGCTGGCCACAGCGCCGACGCTGCCTCACGCTCCCCATCCCAGCCCGGAGCACAGCAGCCCTGTCCTGCCTTCCCGCAAGGTCCCTCCTCGCTCCTCAAGGATGCTGAGTGGCACCGGGAAGCTGCTCAGCCTCTCACTGCATGGGACGTGTAAAACGGGATGCGAAAACACCTGCTGTGCAGGAGTGCAGGGCTGGGGCACGTCCCATCCAGGTGCCACGCAAGAGTGATGCAGGACAGGGCTCGGGGCTCTGCAGTAACAGTGTGAGATCCCTCCTGCCCGGAGATTTTCACCCAAAATAAGTTACAATGCAATGCTCTTTGCATGCTGCCGCAGCTCCCGACGCATCCATGCGTACACCACGCTCGGGGTGAATCTGCAAAGCCTTGTCCTGTCTGTGACCCTGCCTGCAAATGTCGTTGTAGGGATCAGTGGACGTTTGCACCAGACTGCTAAATTTTAACAAACGTTGCAAAAATTGATGGACCGTGGTGCTGCAGGAGCTGGCGCTGCGCAGCTACTCTATGCGTTGTGCTTGTGCCAGCAGCAGCGTGGGGCTCTGCAGCAAGCTGTCCACATGCCAAGAACAGAGCAGCCTAAGCCTGAAACATGCAGTAGCAGGGGGGTGCAAGAAATTGAAAGCAAGATTGCAAAATGCATAAATTCATGGAATCTGTTCTCCTTGCATCTAGATAAGCTGCCAAGGCAAAATACACCAGGTAGAGGGATGCAATGCAGCCCCTTCCTCCAGCCCTGGAGTCCTGGCAATGCAGGTTCCCCAGAGCTTGTGGCTTGTGGTCCGAGTAGCCAAGGGCTCTTTGTGGGCTCTGATGTTGCTGCTGCGGAGATCGGACTTTGTCCTGCCCCCAGCCCCTGCCCAAGCATCTGGTCCTTCTCTCCTGGCTTCAGTAAACCTTTGGAGAGCCCGTTTACATTACTGATAGCTTGAGACATTGGGCAAGAGGCAATATATCAGCAATTTCGTTATTGCGGATTAGGTCTCCAATATCCCAGAGATGTAACATTGCTCTGCCTCACCTTGTGTGTAGGAGGACTAATGGTAAATTATCTGGATGGTTTACATTTTCTGGTTTGCATCGGGGCTCCCAAGGACCAATTTATCCTGATTGAATTGCAAACAAGGCTTACTGTCATCCTGGGCGCAGGGGCCACGGCTCTCTATAAAGGAATTCAGAGCAATCCGGGTTACCCCAAATTCTTCCAGCCGATGGGATAATGGCATAAATCCTGCTAATGTTTAGACTGGAGATTGTTTGCAGCAACCTGAGCTTGACTGATGGCCCAATGTCGGAAAGAGCTGCGATCCATGCCCGAGGCGCAGGTCGGAGAGCTGGAGCCGGCTCCGGTGGCAGCGCAGCGTGGGCGCAGCGCTGTGCCGGGCGCGGGGAGCTTCGCGCGTGGGGATTTGCCGGCCGCCGATTTTGGCAGGGCTTCCCGTCGTGGGGACGCGGCCGCTCGGCCGGAGCCCGGGCTCCCTTGGCTGCAGCTCAAGGCAATGGGAGGAAGTGTCTGTCCGCACGTCTGCGTCCCGGCGAGCCCTGGGGACGGAGACACCGCCGAGACGGGAGCCTCCCGCTGGCCC